TACGGAAACGTCGTGGTCCTTACCGACTCCCGTTTGGTAGCCACCTTAGGCCTCCATGAGTGGATAACGAAATCAAGGGTGCCGCGGAACACAGTGAAAGAACTAAGTTCAAAATTACATGTCTGAACTTGGAATGTGCAATTGGTATAGCTTTTCAAAGCATAGAGGTAATTGGCGAAGTTTCGATAGGTAGAGGTAATATTCATTTCACTTTGAAGGTATTTTTTCTCTACTCATCTCGTAAAAAAGCAGACTACTCAATCTAACCTTGAAAATAAAGAAAAGAATGACCACTGATAATTTAGTAAATAAAATATACATACATTTTTCGCTTCTAAAAACTGGCTGGTACACAAATATACCTCCTCAATCTTTTCTAAATTTTTAATACTTTTTGACTATGATTTCTCGTCTGCACTTAAAGAAACCAAAATATTTTGGCGCACCAGAGATTATATACTTCTCAGAAATATTTTCTTATAGTTAATATACATTTATATGTGTTATTCACTTTACGAGTAATCAGTTTTCGAGCCAGGATAATTCGCTTTGAAAATCAGCTGCTTTATTTTCTGTTTTTATTTTTGTTTTTGCATAATGCTTTTAAGTATATACCTTGCCATTTTTCTGTAACTCTTTTTTTTTATATCTGCACCGACTGCGTTGGAACTTTTAAATTTGTCTTTGGAATAGTTTTAATTCAAATTCACTTTCAAAATCTTTTATCCACCAGGTAACGCGTGCGTACTAAAACCAAACCGTTGCATCCACTCATTCGCCGCACAGTTCGAACTGAATCGAAGTGTTCGTGATTAAGGCGCTTCAAGTAGCAGAATCATTTAGGTGGGTAATACTTATCACTCTTACTACGAAAGCATATTTAAGTATTTTATCTCTGAACCGGCTGATTATTTTCAACGTCTCTTTATTATTTTCGAACTTTATGCCTTTTGGAGCATTTTTGTGTTGCTGTTTTTTTTATTTTAATTTCTACTTTGCTTTTTTTTTATTAGCACAATAATTGTGATTAGATAAAGTATGGGAATAGCTATGAGCTGATAGAAATTCTGCATAAAATAACTGAAACATACGTTATTCGTTAGTCGTGTTAATTTGTACGTAAAAATGTATCATGCAATGCAAAAAAATCTACTTTATCAACAATTGATAACAACAACTCGGATGCGACGCGCTGATTGAGATGTTTAATGATAACGCGTGGGTTTTTTTTTCACAATGCTTGTTTGATTGTAATCTTGTTGTAAGATATCGCGGAAAATAAATTATTCAGCTTATTTGTGTTGAGATACATATTTTTCGAGAAAGTTCACACGATTTAGCGACACTTTGTCTCTGGCGGCTGACTGAATGGTAACTGCACACCGTGCCACAAACGATGCGTTCACACGCCTAGAGAGCGGAAATTACAATATTATGGTGTATTCGGTTTGGAACTGGCAGGCTGGCTGCATCATCCAATGCTCGCACAATTTGTTTGTTATCAGTGTGCTAAATACGTTGTTTACTTTCATGCTTGTGTTGTGAATTCAAGTTCATATTTTGGACCAATAACTACACATTCTGCCATATTAATATATATAAATGCACAAATACAGAAATATTTTTATATATATTTATTCGCAGAATATACTTTAATAAACACTTGCGGTAATATTATATCGGTCTAATTATTTGGTTTAGGGTAATGTTTTTGGTGATAAGTACATATGTATTTTATCAACGGTACCTACATATTAAGTAAAAAAATATATGCATATTTTCATAGTGACTCATTCTAATGTCTAAGTAACTAAAAGAAAAAAAACCAATTTTTATTGAACGTTTTAAAATTAACGTACGTATATATGACTAGGACGTAACCGGATATTATAAGCACTTTTCAAAAGGCGATTTGATGAACGAAAGACTTGTCTATTGAAGAATGAATTTTCATATGCTATACTTAGGATCTGTTTGTTAAACAGCATGAAAATAAAAAAAGTAAGTGCACCTAGGCCACACTGGAGAAGTGAAACTTACGTTACATGCCTATTTTGTCTCATAACCAATTTACATAGATACATATGTACATCTGCTTCTGCTTAAGGTTATATTTTTTGTATTTTTCTTCTATCTAGATAGACCCCTACCTCTTACCCCTGTTCGTTCCAATTACATTTATGTTATTCTGTTTTCCTTTACCTTCATTATTATCTTTATACTCTATCGATAAAAAAATCGATAATAACATTCAACAGAATATCGATAATAAAACCGATAAAAATATCGATAACAAAATCGATGGCAAATTCGATGAAAATTTCGATAGGAAAATTAATAATATTGGTTGATAAATCGATTAGAAAATCGATAAAAATATCGATAGCAAAATCGATAAATAAGCGACAACAAAAATCGCTTGGAAAATCGATAAAAATCTCGACAACAAAATCGATAAAAATATAGATAACAAAATCGATAAACAATTGATAACGAAATCGATAGCAAGTTTGATAAATAATCAATAACAAAATCGATAACAAAATCGGTAAAGATATCGATAAAAATATCTACAAGACCTATAACGATATCGATAACAAAACCAATAACATTGTCGATAACAAAGTCGTTAAAAATATCGATTATAAAATCGATAGCAAATTCGATGAAAATATCGATTATTATATCGTTACGAAGATATCGTTACCAAAATGGACAGGAATATAGGAAAAAATTTCGATAACAAAACCGATAAAAATATCGATTATTATATCGATAAGTCCCGAGAATCCCGAAAATCACTAGAATCTCAAAATAGTTTCCAGATTGGGTCTCTGTGTCTCTATCTATAACCTTCTCTCGATTATTACCTTTATTTTAATCTTTTTTCTATCTTCATCTTTACTGTTATCGGTATCCTTATCCTCATCTTTTTCTTTATATTTATCTTTGTTTTTACATTTATGTTTATCATTTTCTTCATCTACATGAAGGGGAATGCACCTTTGCTCTTATATTTGTAAAGTGTATAAATTTACTTTGAAGTTTATTTTTGTCTTCATCTTTACGCATCTTTGTTTTTTTACCTTTGCCTTATACTTTTCTTTATCTAAGTACGTACTCATTTTTACTTTCATTCTTGTAGCGGTCTTTTTCTAAGTGTTATTCTTTAACCTTTCATTAACAAGTTTTTGTTAAATTCATATCATGTGCATACACTCAAGAAGCCCTAACCATTTCCGTTGCACCATTTCCGTGTGCAATTGGCGTTGAATTTGCCAATTTACTCCCAACCAACCAACCGCCGCTAAAGAAGTTTCACTTCAAAAAAATGCTTTTAATTGTCCAAATCTGTGAAGGCTTCCTGGACTTTACATGAACGCCCTATTTCAGAATTTAGTTGAAAAACGCCGTATTTCAGAATGTGGTTGAAAAATGGCCTATCTCAAAATATTTTCAATATATGTATTTTCAGCTGAGATAGGGCGTTTTTCAATCAAATTCTGAAAAAGGGCGTTCTTTGGTTTAATATGGCCAAAATTGAGATTGCTAGTACCTCGGCCTGAGATACATACATATTTCAATATAAAGTTCGGTGCCAGTTCCAAAGACACTCGTATCTACTCTGCCTGACATGTTTGATCCGTCGGTGTACCAGTGTACATATCTGGGACCCAATTCAGGTGAATCATTTGACGAGACCTTCCTTTCCTTCCAAGGCAGATTTACTTTTGCATAGATTCGGAGAACTCGCAAATCCCTAGAACTGGTACTTTGCGCTAAATACCTTTGTGTTGTGTCTTGTTATGAACAGTACTTTCGTGAATTCACCGAAGCTACTGCTGCTTGGACAAAAATATGGGGTGCAGTCCAACCCAGGAGCGACTGTAAGACCGCGGTTGAACACCTTCTCATTGATCCTGTTCCTCCAAGGGTAACCGTACCAAAGACCGGCTTATACATACCTTCTTGTAAAGAACACCAGGAACAGACTTTGAAACTTAAAGCTCTCGCTTTTTCTCGAATGTATGTATATCGTCAGCTGAGTGAAGATTGCCTATCTGGGATGCTGATTCGAAAACGTCCTATCTCAACAAACGGTTGAAGGACGCCCAATATGAGAGTTTGGTTGAAGAGCGCACTATCTCAGAATTTGGTTCAAAAACCCCTTATCCCGGCTGCCGCTTCGAAAAGGCCCAATCTCGCACCATTTGCTGAGATAGGACATTCTTAAACCAAATTTTGAAATAGAGCCCTTTCCAACTGTTTGCTAAGGTAGGATGTTTTCGAATCCTCAGCTGAGATAGGGCGATCTTCCACTCAGCCGTCAATATAGTCTGAAGAAGGCCGATTCAAACTTTCTAAGGCTGTGCATTTAATTATGCCCATTTAGGTAAATATTTATGCATACTTAGCTGTGAATTGAATATTTACATATTTAAATATGGCTTTTTCTTGATTACAATGTTGACGTAACACAATTAAACAATCTAGTCTTGTTTCATTGAATACATAGAAAGATAAGAAGTAAATGCAATTCCCCAAAGTAAACGTGGAAACATGGAAACATGATGCAATCGCAATTTATTGAAGATGTGAGTAATTCATGTCGAAACAATAGTAAACAGATTATTCCTAACAAAGGTACGAGAATATACTCAGTGGCGGATTTAGGGCCAGCCAATATGCCAATAAAATACATCGGTGGTAACACGACGTGCACGCTCCAAAGTAAATACAAAGTTGTAGACTCAATATAGCGAAACTTAACCCTTTAAAGCTATATGGTTGTAAAAAATCCAGGTCGAAGGAACTTAACAATACATTTTATTTTACTACTAACCTGGGGGAGATTCTTAACCAGTTAGCGACATTTTTTTTTTTTTAAATTTGCAAAAGCAATTCTATCGTCTGTTGTTCAACGACAAGGTATAAAACAGAACTCCATAAGCAAGTGCAAAATTTTGCCAGCGCTGGGCATCCCTCGTATAAAACGACAAATGTTAGCAGTAAGCAACACAGCGACCGATGCTATTTTAACCATAATATATGTATTTTGAAAAAGTCGGCAGAAAAGTAAATTCATATGCAGTACCTAGATAATGGGAGCTGGAAAAGAGCGACTGGCGCTATGGGGCCTATGGCGGACGAGACTGAAAATCCGCCACTGTGTATACTTTATCTATATACATACTGTGATGCACTTTCAATTTTAATAATCGCGAATTGATTTCATTGCTTTTCTGCTTCTTATCAGTACGTAATATATATTATACATACATATATGTATGTATATCCATTTACAAGTGCACATACATATCTCTGAATACCCTGCAGTAAAATTTAGAGACAGTCTGGCAATGCGCTAGTTCCGGACTACATATTTTAGAACTCTCTCTGAACTGGTGCAAAACGGCTGCAGAGCGGCACAGTTGAAACATGCGGTGTCTGTAAGTGTACAAATTCTCACTTGTCGAACAATACGAAAGTAGCTCAGCGAGAAGACCTCCGACTCAAACATCACTGGTCGCGAGTTCACATCGCGCTGGAGGCAGTTGTGAGTTTTCATATTTAATGAGTATAGATTGTTTCGTGTCGCTTACAATATATTTTTTTTAATAAAATGTGTAACAAAAATGGAATTTGTATAAGAAAAGAAAAAACGGAAAACGTGTTCTTATAAAAAAACTCTCCAAAACGGAACTGGTTAAAAACTAGATGCAAAGTAATACATTCGGCGACAATTGCCGCCGGACAGTTGAAAGCATTGCTTGGGTATTAAGGTAGAACTTATACTGTCGGCAAGAGGTCTAGTCCTATGCTAGTTCTGAGCTAGTCAGATTTTCTGCTGGGTAGGTATTGATTGTTGGCACAGCGATCGCGCCTTCCAACAAAATCATTGCCTACAACTAGGCTGCCAACGACGAAAT